ATTGTTCCTCCCAGTCTAAAGAAAAGAAAGACAAAAGAAAGAATGAAGAAACATGAACAAAGTCTCAGAGATATGTGAAAACATCATACCAACATACACATAATGTGATTCTCAGAAAGAGAAGAGGAGGGAAAGAGGAAGAAAGAATCGTTGAAGAAATAATGGCTGAAAATTTCTTAAATTTGATTTAAAAAGCATTAATCTACACATCCAAGAAGGTCAACAAACTCCAAGTAGGATAAACTCAACAAGATCTGTACCTACAGATATCATAATTAAACTGCCAAAAGACAAAAAAAAAAAAAAAAAAAAAAACAGAGAGAGAGAGAATCTTAAAAGCAGGAAGAGAGAAGAAAATCATGTTCAAGGGATCCTCAATGAGATTAACAGCTGAATTTTGACCATGGAAGTCAGATGGTAGTGGGATGACATGCTCAAATTGACAAAAGGAAAAGAAGTAAAAATTCTCCTTCAAAATTTAAGGAGAAATTAAGACATTCCAAGATAAACAAAAACCAAGAGAATCACTTACTGACAGACATAGCCTACAATAAATACTAATGAGAGCCTTTCAGGCAGAAATAAAAGGACACTGGACAGTAACTCAAACACCCAGAAAAAACTGAAGAACACCAGTAAAGTTAACTACATAGTTAAACATAATAGACAATATAAACATATTTTTGTTTGTAACTCTTTTTTCTCACATCTGATTTAAAAGACAATCATATAAAGCTATAATTATATTTCTGTGTTGATAGGCATGTATTGTATAAAGTTGTGATTTGTATGACAATAATAGCACATAGGAAGGGGAGGGAGTGGAGCTTTAATATAAGAGCAAAATGTTGTGTATTATTGAAATTAAGTTGGTATTGATCCAAACTAGATTGTTATAAATTAAGATGTTAATTGTAATCCTATGGCAACCACTAAGAAAATAACAAAAAAAGTAAAATAAATGACCAAAGAATTAAAATTATATACTAGAAAATAAATATTTAACACAAAAGAAGATAGTAACAGAGAAATAGAGAAACAAAAAAACACAGGTCATACACAAAACCAATGGCAAAATAACACACATAAATTCTATCTCATCAGTAATGACTCCTACCAAAACTTTCAAAAGTCTCCTCTTGGGACCACCATATATAGAATATAAAAACTGGGGGCAAGTAAGTCTGTAAATGGTGGAGCAGAACTTCTAATGATCCACAAAAAAGGAGATTTATTTTAGGTAAGTTCATGAACATTTACATGACAATTTCTAAGTGGCATCTAATAAAAATGAGCTTGTAAATAAGCCAAGCCTATGATATATATTTTTTTAAATCTCAGTTGACTTTCTGGAGTAGATTTGTGGCATAAAATGACACACTCCTGACTGACAGTCAATGCTGTATTTTCCTTATGCTATAACAACACATCGAATATACTGGGAATGACATTATGGAGATTGATTCCTTTCTGGCAAACTGATGACTCCCTCTACAAACATTCATTGCTCTCACCTAATGATCTGTGATCACATGAGTTATTATTTTAGGTCATAAATGAATCTTCTTTTGAAAAGCCTGAGAAATGAGATGTAGTTACTGCCCATTAATATTCCCCATGTGCACAACAGGGGTAAAATACAGCATGAATATGTTAAACCAATTTTACGAAATCACTTTACAAGATTTATTAGTTGGCCTAATGTTTTAGTTTATATTTATTATAAAATTCATAATACAAAATATTCTCCAATGGCTTTTCTTCTACTAGATTTGAAGTTGTGAGGATGTGAGGCAGGATATCTACAGCCATCTTGTCACCTGTGAGAAGAATTTATCTTAAAAAAGAAACAATTTCAAGGAGGCTGAACCAAGGTGGGGCAAAAGAGAAATCAGGGACTGAATGGTATCATTTGCGGTACTCCATGAAGCTTCATCTGGATTGTCATGTTGTGGTATGCATTTTTAATCTTCATCCCTATTCCGCAGCATACAACTACTAAAGTCCTTGGAATCTTCGAAGTGATAAATATCTTTTTGTAGGCTAATGGGTTGGTTAAGTGGCTGGCAGCTCCTGGATAGCTTCAGCACGTGGACTGGTCACTAGAAAGAACAGGCATGACCTCCTAGGAGGGATGAGGGGCTGAAGTTTAAGTTGATCACCATAACTGATGATTTAATCAATCATGCCCACATAATGAAGCCTCCGTAAAAATCCAAAATGGACTGGGTTCTGAGAGCTTCTGGATAGCTGGACATGCAGAGGTTTCTAGAGGGTGGTATGCCCAGAGAGAACATGAAAGCTCCACATCACTTCTCATACACTGCCCTATGCATCTCTTCATCTGTATCCCTTGTAATATTCTTTATAACAAAGAACTGTTTCTCTTGAGTTCTGTGAGCCCCTCTAGCAAATTAATAGAACACAAAAGAAGAAGGTTGTAGAAACCCCAATTTATAGCCAGTCGGTCAGAGCACAGGGTAAACAACCTGGATCTTGTGACTGGCATCAGAAGTGGGGCTGGTCTTGTAGGACTGAACCCTCAACAAGTGTGATCTGATGCTATTTCCAGGTAAACAATATAAGAATTGAATTTAATCAGAGGATACCTAGCTGATGTCTGCTGCAGAAAAGAATCAATTGCTTGTTTGCAGTCGAAGAAATCACCACACATCTGGAGTCAGAAGCATGTTTGAAAGTATAGTAGGAGAAGCTGAGTTTGTTTTCTACATGGACTCTTCAGGAATGTGACTGGGCCGAACTCACTAGAATTCACTGATGGTATGACTCTCTCTGTCCCAATCTGACAACCATGGCTCAATCTCCTATGGGATAAGAAGGCTGTAAGACAGGAATGGTTCAGCACCATTTTTATGACTAGATTCCAGTCCCAGTTTATAATCTGACTCTTCCAAGTCACTGATGCTGTAAAGGGAGTCCTGGTGATGGTCCTAACTTGCCACCTGGAGCCTCTACCTGCTTTGTTACAAGACCCAGTTTCAGGGATGGTGGAGGAAACCAAGAAGAAAAAAAACAGTTACCATTGCAGAATTCTGCAAAGGCCCAAGAATTGAAGAACCAATGCTAGGGTATAGAAGGAGCTGAAAATAAAAGAATTGACTGAAGGCTCCTAGAGGACACACCCACATAGCTACCCTTCCTCCACCTCAGCAGAGTACTGAAGACGTGCTTCAAAAGAGGTTGAACCAGAGGGACCCTGGACTCCAGAAAACTTTCAGGAATGCCATTATGAAAGCAGAGGATTAATTAAAAGTGTACACACTGAATAGTAAGAACCAACCTCCTCCCACTCCATCCCCTGCCCCACCAATTCTTGGCTCCAAGAACACTAGACATCAGGCTTATACCGGAGCAGCTCAGGAGAAAATACTCTTAGAACCTAACGATTGAGGAAGTCTCCTAACAAAATGGTCAACTCTCAGCACAGCTACTCCACGGGAAAACCCACTGGTCAATGAATCCCTCTCATGTACACAAATTAGCTTTTGGTGCTCCACTTTCATGCATGAACAAGTGGCAAAAGATCGACAAACATTTGAAAAAGGTCTCTAACATCAAAGACAGAAACAAAAACAAACAATCAGAAAACAATGGACTCAGACAATGTAGATTACAAAAGAAAACCTTCAAAAAGCTCTCACTAAAATCCTTGGAGGAAGATATTGTATTTGTGAAAACAAGAACAAGATGCTATTTTTAAAAATAAAAATAACATTCACTAAGTAAAAAAAAAAATGAACTTTTAAAATGAATCGGAAAAGCAGAAGATAAAGTTGAGTAAATCTTGCTAAAAGTAGAACAAAAAGACAAGAAATAGATTATAGAAAAGAAAGATTGAAATAAAGGATTCATTCAGGAGTTCTAACCTGCTAATAATAAGAACTACAGATAAAAAGAACAAAGAAAATTGGGGCAATTAATTATGAAACAAAGAAAAATTCCTAAAATTGAAGTACATGCATCTCCGTATTAAAAGGGCACATCACTAAATGCCCTTCCGCAATCACTTTATTATTATTATTATTATTATTATTTATTTTTTTTTTTTGAGATGGAGTCTTGCTCTCTTGCTGTGTCGCCCAGGCTGGAGTGCAATGGTGCGACCTCAGCTCACTGCAACCTCCACCTCCCGGGTTCAAGCAATTCCAATCCTCTGCCTCAACCTCCCAAGTAGCTGGGATTGTAGGCGCCCATCACCACGCCCAGCTAATTTTTGTATTTTTAGTAGAGATGGGGTTTCACCATCTTGGCCAGACTGGTCTTAAACTTCTGACCTCGTGATCCACCTGCCTCAGCCTCCCAAAGTGCTGGGATTACAGGCGTGAGCCACTGCACCCGGCCCCGCGGTCACTTTAAACAGACACACACCGAGGCCAGCATTGAGGTCTCTGATGATAAACTGTCATTATTCAACTCAGAGAAATAAAAAGCTAAAACATCCGCCTAAGAAAGGAACTTTTCTGGATTTTGAGATGGCAATAACAAATAAATCCCTGCTTTTATATATATTGGTTCTCAAATAATTATAAACTAAATAATATCTTACATGCATTAATAGAGCTTCCTATTTTAAAGAAACAAGACAAAGAAAAAACACAGAAAGACTTTTCGTTGGGAGTATATGCAGGTAACTCATAATATTAGTAGATTGTCTGAATTCTGCTGTACCAGAAGTTTACTTTATCAACTTTTTAAAATACATAGCCCATGAGGCTTAGAAATGTCTATTTTCTTGATCTCATTATTCTTAGATTTATATAGGTTTTGACTATATAAATTTCATTATTTTAGTAAATCTTTACTAAATTATTTTTAATATTAAATACTGAATTTGTATTTAAAATACAAAAGGTTTAACAATATTAACAATGCCTAATTTATTTATAATGAAATCGAGTCTTGAGAATTTGTGTTACCTTTAAAGATACCAAAACTCCTGACACTTTAATTCCCTCTCATCTTAGTAGTCACACACTCACCTTGAGGATCAACTTCTTTAGCTAGCTTCAGCGCATCTGAGTTTGCAAGATCAGTATTGGCTGGAGTAACAGCTAAAATCAGACAGTTCTCCCTCGTGATGAACTGCATAATCATTTCTCTGATCTGATACTCAATATCTGGTGGCTGATCTCCCACGGGCACTTTGGTTATTCCAGGTAGATCAATAAGGGTTAGATTTAACACTGTGTGGAAAGGATAAAAGAGTCTTACATACACCTTCAATGCTAAAAGATAACACAGAACCATTTGTCACTTAGCTCAGCTTTCTACATTGTGTATCTGAACAACTCAAACCCATGTGTGAAGAATAAAAAGCATAAAATAAAAATGGTTTTGCTAGTTTTCTCTAATTTTATGATATGATTGTGCTATGCCAAATGATCACTTTAACATAATTTGAAAGGCACTGATTTGCATGCCTAACAGTTTGCTCAGAAAGCTGTCATATCTGTAACTAGGGGGTTATAATTAAAACACCAAACGAAAAATGCATATGCTGTCTGCCAGTCTTGTACATCGCCTTCAAGTGGTATAAAAACTCGCAGGGTAAGATTTGCCCTTTCCTTAAAAAGTATCATATGTTTTTTATAGAAAGTTAACCACTTAGCCTAGTAGAAAGCTGTTAGCCATTCGTGGTGCCCTGGGTTTACTGAATTAGCTGTATGAACAGAGTCAGCAACAACATGACTCTAGCCCAACCTCTCTGTACAAACAATGTTGGCACCAAGTACCCTTGGGAAGTCCTAATTGAGCTTATGTCATTTATATTCTGTTTTAAAAGCAATAGAGCTAAGTAGGGAATAAGAAATGAAAATTTGCCCACTAAAAATTTAGTCAGCATAGAGGCTATTTCCCATCACACCCTATGGATTGGTTATCTAATTTATAAGTTTCTACCGATAGTCTGGGGGGAAAACTCAGAGCTGATTTCTCAGGAAGAAAATAAATAGGACTATATATGGCTGCAAGAAATCCAATAGGGGAGGATGCAACCATAGTAACATGTACCTCTAAGATTTCAGCAAAGACTGAAAAATGTAAGTTTTCATACATACCCTTCTCAAATTCTAAAAGCTTATTATGAAAATGAAGAAAAAATATTTAATGACTAACTCAATTCTGTTTTTATTAAAGTCATCTCCTCCTCCCTCTCCTTAAATGTTCTAAGAGCTCTTTGAACCATAACATTAATGGGCAGTATCCAAAGGATACCCTAGAAAGCCAGCACTGTTTGTATCTTCTGTACAAATGATGTATGTTAATTAATGTACTAAAAATGTTTGGAGAGAAGAATTTGGAATTTTATTATTTTACTTACCATGTGGGGAATAGACTCGTAAATTAATGGGTATGGAGGAAATGCCTTTATTCATTCCAGTCACGCGATCTGTTTCTGCTTCAATCTCATGCCGAACTTCATCAAAATCTGTAAATTTCTTTCCTTTGCAATGTAGAAACTCAGCATATTCTACAAAAATAAAACCAAAATGACACGACTTAAATTCATGCATTTTTGCCATAATTATAAAAAATGTTTCTTTAATTATAAGTCAAATTATCCGATATTCTCTCTTCATCCCTCATGAACATCCCACAGAACACAGTAGTTACTAAGAATCACAATTAATACTTCAGAAATATTAAACATAGTACAGATGCTATAGATGCTAAATTTGCTAATTTTCAGTTGAGCAATTAAATACTATAACCAGTCCCTAAACCACAAAGCCTATTAAATAATTTAAAGAAAATTTTGGCTGTCCAAATGATAAAGCAAACAACAACCTGATTGTTAAAAACATTAGATCTAGGATACCACTGAGTTCTGTTAGCATTTCCCTCTTCAGTATCACCATTTCATCAGGAGGGAATGCCAAGTTATATAAATATATCTTCAGAAGGTAAAATAAGTTAGGGGGAATCATTTAATTAATTTGTTAAAAATAAATAATATATGGAATCCTTTAGCTTAAAAACATACTATTGAAAATACGACATCAGCTTGTATAAAGACAATTTCTCAAGGCAAAAAAGTTATAAAGTATTATATCAAAGAAAATATTTACCTATAATCTAAAATTTTTAAAAAATCCCTCAGCAGAGGGAAAAACACTAAAATAACTACATAAATAACAAAACTGGGTTTTTTAAATTTCAGTAACATCCTACAAAGTGTTGTATTATCAATTTCTATACCTACTTTGAGAGAAATCAGGTATATGAAAAACACCACAATTTAAAAGAAAAGCTAGTACAGTACTATTAGATTTTTTAAAATGAGTATAAATCTAACAAAGAAACAAACCTCAACAAAGATTTTAGTTTATCTAATATCTCAATGAAGAATTGTACCGCTAAACTTAGACTATGGCTAAGCACCTTGAACCCAAATGCCAGATAAGAGCCAGGGAGATCGAGGCTGCAGCGAGCCGTGATCATGCCACTGTACTCCAGCCTGGGCAAGAAAGTAAGCCCTCATCTTAAAAAAAAAAAAAAAAAAAAAAAAGCCAGATGAGGCAATTATTGGTAGCCTTACTACCATTCCCCATCACAAACAGTTAATATTCACTCTTGGAGATGAAATGTCAAGCCAAATAGCAAGCGAGCTGTCAGATGGGGTCCATGTCTTCAAGTAGGTTAGCATTAACTCAAAAAGCTAAGGATTAGACTACTGAGAAAAAACATTATGCAGGTAGCATAACATAAATGCTGAGCTGCCCTTAAAATGATAGGAAAGGTAGAGATAGAAAAGATGATTTTAAGTTGTGGTACCCAAAAAAGGAAGTGGGATATGGACAGAATATTGAACAGTAGGGAGGATTTTGACGTGAGCAGGGAGAAAGAGAGGTCTTCCAGAGAATCAGAGAATCTTCGTAGGTTCAACAAATCTGGCAGGTTGTCATGCAGTCTCTGCTTGGACCCATCCACTAATAGGTAACGGAAACTTTGACCTCGTTGGAAAAAAACTCTGATTGGAAAATGTTTATGTTTGGTATGAAATCTGCTTTCTTGTCATATTCCACGGGTCCAACTTTTGTCTTCTGGTGCTACTCAGCTGTGAAAAGGCCGTGTGCATTAATGTGAGTGTCAGCACCCCAAGTTTGTCTCCTTCCTGGGCCTTACACCCCTACCCTGCTTTGTCTCACCACTACTCGGGCCCTCTGGTGGCAAAGATTTCCCAGTTCCAACCCCAGCCACTCTGAACTGGAAAAGTCACAGACTCCCAAAGTGGACCAAAAAGTTTCCACTTTAATTTACCAAAGAATTGAAATGACATAGCTTTTGGGATGTTAGAATGAGAATCAGAGACAGACTTAATTTCTGTCTTTCCTGACAACATGCATGGACATGAGTATTTCTCTTTCTATCTTAGTTTCTCCATATAATGTGCCACTTTCTGAAAAACAGCAAGCTAAGTCTCCTGAAAGCTCATTCCTCTAATGCTGGAAGTATACCCAACAGTAAAGACTCAACAGGCTGCAGAAATCTGGCCTGAAGAGATCAGTTCATCAAGATCAGGCATGTTCTTCTACACTTACCCTCATAGGCAGTGTCTTTATTAAAATATAAATTCCCAGAAGATGGAGCCTTCATTTTATTACCCATTCAATGCTTAGGCCAGTAGCATGTGAATGTAAGAGTATATAGATAAGTAGAGGACAAAACAGGAAGAAAAACAAAGGAAAAAAAGAAGTCAGATCCCAGAAAACAAGCAAAAATTAAATGGAAAAATTAGAAATAATTTAGAAGAAATAGAACTGTGTTTTTTTCAATGCCACCTATTCCGTGGAAAGTGCACCCTTGAGAACTTATGGCTATCACAACTGTTCTGTCATACAGTTCATAAGCTTCTGGATCAGGAACTACATTTTCAATCATTGCTAATCAATACATTTCAGTTAACACAAATGTGGACCTCCTTTGTTGCCACTAGATGGCACCTACTTGCTTTCTCTGTAGGAAACATGCCCTTCCGGAAGGGTGTAAAATCAATGCTATTTTCAAATTAGATTTAAATGAGTTCTCAAACTCTTGAAAATACTTTTATCTTGGAATCAAGAGATGATAATTGGGCAGGACCATCTCAAACCTTTGTGTATTTTTATTTTGTCAACCCCTTGGTCAATTTGCAGTGTCTTGTTGAGGATAGTGTCCCCCAGACAAATTCAAGGATACCTATACTCATTTATTTATTTGATTAACATTTTTTGAGATCACTCTACTTGCCAAGAACTGTTTTAGAAATTGGGATATAGTAAAGGGGGGAAAATAAGTCTCTAGGCTCACGAACCTTAAATTCTAATCAGGTAAAACAGTAAACAATGTGTGTGTGTCTGATGCTAAGTGCTATGGAGAAAATAAAATAGCAGGGGGATAGTAAATGCTTTGGGAAGGGGGTTGCTTGGTTATGTGGTATAGATGAGGAAGGCTTCCATGACAGGGTAAAGTGACCTTTGAGCAATGACTCAAGAAAGGAAGGCAGCAGGCCGTACTGTATGGAAGGGCATCCGGGCAGAGTGCCTAAAGCAGATGTGTGCTCGGCATGTTGAGGGAGAGCCAGGTCCATGTGGCTGGAGCACCAGGCGGTGTGGAGGGGAGGGAGGTGGGAAACAAGGCCAGTGCTGTAGACAGGCCTGGATGTGGAGGGCCCGTGGACCGTTTTAAGGATTTTGATTTTTCTGAGTGAGTTGGTAGAGCATCTGAAGGATTTGGGGTAGAGCAGAAACATGCTGTGACCTAGGTTTGAAACAACTGTGGCTGCTGTGTTGAGGACAGACATGAAGAGCGAGAAAGGAAGCTTGCTACTGGAATTATCCCGGGGAGAGCTGCTGAGGCTTGGACCAGGGTGACAACAGTAGGGTGGTGATAAGTGGTTAAATTCTAATGTATTTTGAAGAAAAAACCAACAGAATTTGCTGAAGGATTTAAGCTGGGGAATGAGAGAAAGAGAAGCATCAAGGATAACTTCAAAGAGTTTGACCTCAGCCACCAGAAAATGTTTGAAATAGAAAAGACTGAAGGGAAGAGGATGGGATGGGATGGGATGGGATGGGATGGGATGGGATGGGATGGGATGGGATGGGATGTGGGTTGGGACCTATTAAGCTTGTGATACCCATTACACACCCAGCCAAGTTGAGAAAAAGCACTTCTAAGGTTGAGGACAACAAAGCTGAAGGAGACACCATTCACATTCAGTCTTTGGATAGGTGTCTTTACTCTGAAAAATTTCCAGAAGATGGCAGTCATGTGCTTGAGGAAAGGGCAGTTTTTTCTAATTCGTATAAAAATGTCTTCAGGGCTAGATATATGCATCTTTTGTTCACGGAGAAGTCCAAGTGAGAGATATATATTTGGGAGTCATTCAAGTCAGGCAAGTGATGAGATCACTAAGCAAGAGTTATAGAAGAGGTCAGAGTACCAGGCCCTGGGTTTTCCAAAGTTTAGAGGTCAGGAAATGGAGACTTAGAAGGTAGGAGAAAACAGTAAGGGGAAAACAAAGCCAAGAAAAGAGGAGACCTACTCCATCCAACCCTGCCTACAATATGTCCAGTAACATGTCCAGTAACAGGAGGACTAAGACTGGATCTTAGAATTTAGCAACTTGAGGATCCTTCAGGAGGAGGGTGAAGAGAGAAGAAACCAGGTAGAGACTGATTATAGAATAATTTGAGACAGGGTCTCACTCTGTCACCCAGGCTGGAGTGGAGTGGTGCCATCATTACGCACTGCAGCCTCGAACTCCTGGGCTCAACTGATCCCTCCACCTTAGCCTCTGGAGTAGCTGGGACTACAGGCAGTGTGCCATCACATCTGGCTAACTTTTATTTATTTTTTGTAGCGATGAGGTCTCACTGTGTTGCCCAGGCTGGTTTCGAACTTTTGGCCTCAAGTCGTGTTCCCAACTCAGTCTCTCAAAGTGCTGGGATTATAGGAGTGAACCACTGTGCCCAGCCAACAGTTCTTTAAGGAGTTTTGTTGTAAAGAAGAGGAGAGAAGGGAGAGGGCAGCTACAGAGGTATGTAAAGTCAACAGAGAATTTTGTAAAGATAGCAAATTAATGGCATGTTCATAGGCTGAAATGGTGACACCCAGGATAAGCGAAGTGAGAAGGCACAAATGCTGAAGTGATGTCTGAGGGGAGGGGAATAGGAGGCCAGAAAGAAACAAACAAACATGCCAGGGCATCCATAGGAACAGGAAGGAGGCAGAACAATGAGCATGGATGAGATGAATAGGTAGAACTAATGGTGGTGGGAGCCTGTGAAATTCATCAGGGGACTGTAGGGACTGATTATATTTGTCTGAGGTCATTTTATATCTTTACTGGTTAACTAGGTGGTTTACTTGTTAACCATTTAACCATCTCACTGGTTAAACTGTATAAGTACTATTATATAGTTTATATACTACTATAGTACTGTATAAGTACAAAATACATTATACACACACACATGCACGCAAAAA